TGGAATGCAACAAAAGCAGTTCTAAGAGGAAAGTTGATAACTGTAAATGTCTATATTAAAAAATAAAGGTCTCAGATAAACAACTCAACATTACACATCAAAGAACTAGAAAAATAAGAATAAACTAAGCCCAAAATTAGCAGAAGGCAGGATATAATAAAGATTACAGCAGAAATAAGTAAAACAGAGAATAGGAAAACAATAGAAAAGATCAACAAAACTAAAAGTTGGTTTTTGAAAAAGATGAAATTGACAAACCTTTAGCTAAACTAATCAAAAAAGAGGGGACTCAAATAAATGAAATTATCAATGAAAAAGGAGGCATTTCAACTGATACCACAGAAATATCTGTATTTCTGTGTTATCTGTATATCTGTATATCTGATCATAACAGATCACTGTAAATAATTATATACCAATAAATTGGACAACCAAGAAGAAATGGATAGATTTCTAGAAACATAAAACTTAACAAGACTGAATTGAGAAGAAATAGAAAATCTGAACAGACCAATAAAGAGTAAGGAGTTTGAATCAGTAATCAAAAAACTCCCAAAAAAGAAATCCCAGGATCAGATTATTTCACTGAATTCTACTGAACATTTAAAGAATTAATGCCAATCTTTCTCAAACTCTTCCAAAAACTGCAGAGGAAGGAACACTCCCAGACTCATTATATAAGGTCAGCGTTACCCAAAACCAAAGCCAGCCAGATAAGGATACTATAAGAAAACCACAGACCAATATCCCTGATGAATATAGATATAAAATTCTCAGCAAGTTACTGGCAAACTGAATTCAACAGCATGTTAAAAGGATCACATGCCATGATCAAGTGGGACTTGTCCCTGGGATGTAGGGATGTTTCAACATACCAAAATCAATAAATGCAATAAATCTCATTTATAGAATGAAAGATAAAAATCATATGATCATCTCAATAGGTGTAAAGAAAACATTTGACAAAATTCAGCATCCTATCATGATTAAAAAAAAAAACTCTCAACAAAGTGTGCATAGAAGAAATGTACCTCAATATAATAAAGATGATATATGACAAACCCACAACTGACATCCTACTCAGCGGTGAAAGGATGAAGGCTTTTCCTCTAAGACAAGGGTGCCCACTACCAGAAGTTCTACCCAGAACAAGTAGGCAGGAAAAAGAAATAAAAGGCATCCATATTGGAAAGGAAGAAGCAAAACACTGTCTCTGTTCAGATGACATCATCTTATATATAAAAAATCCTAAATACGCCACCCCCCAAAAAACAAAACAAAACAAAAAAACAAAAACAGAGCTAATAATTGAATTCAGTAAAGTTGCAGGATAAAAAATCAACATATAAAAACCAGTTGTGTTTGTATACACTACTAACAAACTATCTGAAAAATAAAGAAAACAATCCCATTTATAATAGCATCAAAAACAAAAAAAAGATACTTAACAATACATTCAACCAAAAAGGTAAAAGGTCTATACAATGAAATCCATAAGATACTGCTGAAAGAAACCGAAGAAGATACAAATAAGTGGAAAGATATTTTGTGCTCATGAAAAAGAAGAATAGTTAAAATATCCATATTACCCAAAGCCATCTATAGAGTCAATGCAACCTCTATTAAAATGTAATGGGGGGTGCCTGCGTGGCTTAGTAGGTTAAAGCCTCTGCCTTCGGCTCAGGTCATGATCCCAGGGTCCTGGGATGGAGTCCTGCATGGGGCTCTCTGCTAGTCGGGGAGCCTGCTTCCCCCTCTCTCTCTGCCTGTCTCTCTGCCTACTTGTGATCTGTCTGTCAAATAAATAAATAAAATCTTCAAAAAAAAAAAAAAAGAAATAGAAAAAACAATCCTGAAAATTGTATGGAACCACAAAAGACCCAAATAGCCAAAGCAATCTTGAGAAAGTAGAACAAAGCTTGAAGTATCACACTTTCTGATTTAAACTATGTTATAAAGCAATAGTATTCAAAACAGTATAGAACTAATGTAAGAACAGATACATAGAGCAATGGAGCAGAATCAAGAGCCCAGAAATAAACCCATGCATATACAGACAACTAATATTTGACAAAGGAGCCAAGAATACTCAGTGGGGAAAGGACAGTCTCTTCAATGTAATGGAAATGGAAATTAGGTATTAAATGGTATTAGGAAAATTGGATATTCACATGTAAAATAATGAAACTGGATCCCTATTTTACACCACTCACAAGCATTAATTCAAAATGGATTAAAGACTGAATATAAGATCTGGAACTGTAACCCCTAGAAGAAACAGGAAGTACTTTGACATTGGTCTTGGTAATAATTTTTTGGATATGACACTAAAAGCACAAGCAACAAAAACAAACATTAACAAGTGGGACTACATAAAACAAACAAGCCTCTGCACACCAAAAGGAACAACCAAGAAAATGAAAATGCAACCTATGGAATGGTAGAAAGTATCTGCAAACTCTCTATAGGATAGGGAGTTAATATCCAAAATATAAATGGAACTCAAACAACTCAACAGCAAAAAAGCAAATAATCTGATTTTTTTAAATGGGCAAAGGCCCCAATTAGACATTTTTCCAAAGACTACCAATGGCCAATACACACATGAAAAGGTGCTCAGCATCACCAGTCATCAGGAAATGCAAATCAAAACCACAGTCAGTTATCACCTCACACCAGTGAGAACGGCAATTATCAAAAAGATAAGAGATATAGGGATGCCTGGGTAGCTCAGTCATTAAGCATCTCCCTTTGGCTCAGGTTATGATCCCAGGGTCCTGGGAAAGAGGCCCGTGTTGGGCTCCCTGCTCAGTGGGAGCCTGCTTCTCCCTCTCCCACTCCCTCTGCTCGTGTTCCATCTCCCGCTGTCAAATAAATAAAATCTTAAAAAAAAAAAAAAAAAAGATGTAACTGTTGAAGATGTGGAGAAAAGTGAACCCTGTGCACTGCTGATGAGAATGCAAATTAGTACAGCCACTATGGAAAACAGCATGAAGCTTCTTCAGGAAATTAAAAACAGAACTATCATATAATCCAGCAATCCCATTTCTGGGTATATATCCAAAGGAAATGAAATCATAATGAGGTATCCGCAACCCCACATTCACAGCAGCATTATTCATGATAGCCAATACATGAGAACAAACTAAGTGTCCATTGATGAATGAATGAAGAAAATGTGGTGTATATATTTACAATGAAAAAAGAAGGAAATCCTGCCATTTGCGTTAACATGAAGCACAAGGGTATTACGCTACGTGAAATTAGTCAGAAAAAGACAAATATTGTGTGATCTCACTTATGTGAAATCTGAAAAACAAAACAAAACAAAACTCCAAGGCAGGGGCTGGTGGTGAGTTTTGTTGGACCCTGGACAGTAAAGAATAGTTCCTGAGAGTAGGGGCAGGGTCATTGTCTCCTTTGCTGATCCAGGTGCCAAGGACAGGGCTTAACACTCAGTATGAATTTGCTGAATGTTAATATTACATGCACTCTAGAAGTAGAGGTTGAGTCAAGAATGTGTTAGATTCTGAACACTGAACAACATGCTTTAATACCCTTGGGAATGAGTTAGAGACTTCAAAGAAAAGGCTGGGTAATAAATAAATCAGTATTCTATCCTAATTATAGTTGTGTGTTTTTTTTTTTTAAGATTTTATTTACTTGTGAGAGAGAGAGAGAGAGAGAGTGCACAAGCAGGCAGAGGTGGAGAGAGAAGCAGACTTCCCACTAAGCAAGAAGCCCGATGCGGGACTCGACCCCAAGACCCTGGGATCATGACCTGAGCCGAAGGCAGCAGCTTAACCGATTGAGCCACCCAGGCGTCCCCCTAATTATAGTTATTAACTACAAGAACTTTTAACTTTAAAAATAAACAGCTTTATTGGGATGCCTGGGTGGCTCAGTCGGTTAAGCTTCTGCATTCAGCTCAGGGCATGATCCCAGGGTCCTGGGATTGAGCCCTACGTCGGGCTCCCAGCTCAGCTAGGAGTCTGCTTCTCCCTCTGCCCCTGCTCTCTCTCAAATAAATAAAATCTTTAAAAAATAAATAAACAAAATTTTGGTTTCTGAGTAAAAAAACAAAATTAATCTGGCTTTTTCAAAGCAGCTATGAGAAATCGCTAAAGGATTCTAAGCAGGAGGGGTAACAGAGCCACTTGACATTTTAGATTGCTCTGACAGCAGTTTGGAAGGTGCATTGGAGGGATCGTTACAGTGAGAAGACACAGCTATAGTGCAGTGGGGTGGGGGCAAGTAACAGTCTGGAACAGAGATAGTAGGAAAGGACCAAAACAGGGTTAAGAACTCTTTGGGACTGGGGCGCATGGGTGGCTCAGTGGGTTAAGCCGCTGCCTTCAGCTCAGGTCATGATCCCAGGTCTTGGGTTCAAGCCCCACATCGGGCTTTCTGCTCGGCAGGGAGCCTGCTTCCTCCTCTCTCTCTGCCTGCCTCTCTGCCTACTTGTGATTTCTCTCTGTCAAATAAATAAATAAAATCTTTAAAAAAAAAAAAAAAAGAACTCTTTGGGAGACAGAACTGAGGACCTCAGACCCCTTCCTGGGTGGTGACCCCCAACTCTGAATAAGGATGCCTGTCCTCCAAACTAGACTGGCCTGTCAGTCAGTATCCTCCAACCATTGATGACTTTAGTCTGAAAGGAAGACAGTCGGAATCCTGGGAGCCCCCTCTGACCCCGCAGGCACAAAGAGGAAGATGTTTCAGAAAATATGAGTGGCAGCCCCACCTCCCCACCTAATACACATACACAGTCTTTGTCTTTATCACATTTCCAAAAGGGAACATGTGTCAAGATGTCATCCATCTCCAGACATCTGAGTCACAGAGAGAAGAGACAGGAAGGGCCCATCACATATATCGAGCTATCAAAACACTCCTTTCACTGCTTCTGCTCAATCTAGAAGACTCAGCCTGTAATTATTTAAGATTTCCTATGATTCGCAATGTTATGGGAAAGTAAATTACTGACATTCACAAGGTGGTAATCTGTTAAGAACAAGTTTTTTTCTTTTTTTAATTTAGGATCTTATTAGCAATACATCAGCATCATTAATAGAAAAAAACATTGTTGACACAGAAACTCAAAAAACCAGCCATTAAGAAAATAATGGAGTAATCAACCACTATGAGAGAAGAATGGTTCCTCTCATTTGATTCCACTGGCAAGCCCAGGCTTATCCTGAACTTTGAGAGACTCTCTGTCCTGAGTGGATGATGAAACATTCAAGTAAAAGGTAAGAAGTTATAAGTGTGAGTTTCTGAGGGATACTGCCTCAAAAGAAGTTCAGGGGTAGCCATAGTCCTCCAGTTTACTCCAATGTTGGTACATTTCTGGGACGACCAGCACAGTTTCCTTTTGAGGAGTTTTGACAATTCATCAGCCTCAGGATTCAGGTCTTATAAACATTCTTCCATGTTAAAAAAGACTTTGATCCACAGGAGTAAGTTTTTCATCGCTTCTCCAGCTTCTTGTACTTGGCTTCTGCCAGGGAGAGATGGGGAAGAAGTTAAATCTTTTAAAACCAGCTCTTACAAAGATCTTTTCAGTCAGCATTTCCAGGCAAGTTCAACAATATCTATTACACTAAAAGAAAAAAAAAATCTATTGCCTTTAATCTCATAATCTGTCCAAACTGGGTCCAAATTGGAGGCACACCATAAATGTTAACATTCATATTAGCTAAAGACAGATATTTGGATGTGCACAACTTAAGATAAAAAGTTTCACACACACACACACAGAATTAAGAACAAGTTCACTAAGTTCTAACCCTGTCAACAGCACGTGCTCAGACAACTCCGTCAGGATTAAGCAGATCTACTGGCACTGGAGTCATGGGAAGCCTTACTAAGCACGGGAAATTGCTTCTCCAGCCACTGTCCCAGGCACTCTCTGACAGCCAGACTGGAACTCTCTGGACATACAAATGTATGTTTCTCATTTTATTTTCTTATTCCTACACCTCACTATAGGAAAGTCATTTTGAAAGACACAGAGATTTAAAAGACTATCAAATAAGCCTCTTTTTTGTTTGTTTGTTTTAATATTTATTTTTTTTTATAAACATATATTTTTATCCCCAGGGGTACAGGTCTGTGAATCGCCAGGTTTACACACTTCACAGCACTCACCATAGCACATACTCTCTCCAATGTCCATAACCCCACCCCCCTTCTCACAAACCCCCTCCCCCCAGCAACCCTCAGTTTGTTTTGTGAGATTAAGAGTCACTTATGGTTTGTGTCCCTCCCAATCCCATCTTGTTTCATTTATTCTTCTCCTACCCCCTTAACCCCCCATGTTGCATCTCCACTTCCTCATATCAGGGAGATCATATGATAGTTGTCTTTCTCTGATTGACTTATTTCACTAAGCAT